AGATATTTGTACACCCATGTGCATAGCAGCATTATTCATAAATAGGCAAAAAGGGGAAGCAACCCAACTGTCCATCAACAGATGAGTGGATAAGCAAAATGTGACATATATATGTCACATATATTCATTCCATTGTGTATATGTTGACGTGAATAAATGTAGACAATGAAATATTATTGTCTAGGCTTAGAAAGGCTTAGAAAGGAAGAAATTCTGACACATGCTACAACATAGATGAACCTTGAAGACATTATTGTACATGAAATAAGCCAGTCACACACAAAAATATCCAGTGTGATTCCACTTATAGAAGGTACCTGGAGCAGTCAAATCCTTAGAGACAGAGAGTAGAATGATTGTTGCCAGGGACTGGGAGAAGGGAGAAAGGGGGAGTTATTGTTTAATGGGTACAGAGATTCGGCTTTGCAAGATGAAAAGAGTTCTGAGATGGTGGTAATGGCTGCACAGCACTGCAAATGCACTTAATACTACTAAACTGTATACTTTTAAATCGTTAAGACAGTTAAATTTTAAATTATGTGTATTTTACACCAATAACAAATTTTAAAAAACTAGTAGAGTGATAGTAAAGTTATATTTTTAAAATATAGAGTTCTCTTCTCCAGGTGTCAAATATACTGGGCACCCCAATGACAAGGGGAATGAGAAGTCTTGGGTTCCCATTAGCATTGAACAGTATTAGCCATGAGGGGCTGCCTGGAAGAGGTGAAACGGTGAACTGATGCTAGGCAAGAGGAGCAGAAGAATTCCAGTGGTGAATGATACTACCTCAGTGTCCATATGGGCCCTGCCTCTTAGCTCACCTCTACAGTTTCCAGGGAGACAGTTTCCAGGGAGCTTGGAATATTCACATTGCTTTCACTTGACAACCTGAAACTAGTGGCTAACCACCTGCCACCTTCTTTCCATCATCCTGGGCCCATGGGCTCCGCACTGCCCAGGCAGTAGGAGCCCTGCCAGGTAGGCACCTTCCACCTATTGCCCTTCTCAGCCACACACAGGCTTCACAGGGACGACTGAGACTCCTATTAATGGAGGTAAGTCCATAGAAAGTGCTGGATGGATTGGGGCAGACATGGACAGCCTCCAGCCCCATAGGAACCTCCCATTTGTTACCATCCAAGGAGAACCCTAGAGACCCTGAGATCCAGGGTAGACAGAATATAGTCCCAGCCCTCAGGGGACTCACAGCCTAGTGCAATAGGCAGAGCTACCGTATCTTTTCACTAGGCAGATGCTAGTGCCTACTTCATGATGGCTGCTGAGTCAGAGGCTTTCAAAGATGAGGCTCATCCTTAATGCGGGGGTCGGGGGAGGGATGCCACAGGGCTCCACTCACTTTTCAACACTCACTGCTAAGCACCAAAGGCTGCATTCTCTAAACCCTGCAATTCTCTGCCTGAGGGTTTTTCATGTCCCCAGAAGCAGCCCTCAACATATGGCAGACAGGGAGTGAGTGAAAAAACACCCCAGTTCCTTTGCTCTCGATTGGGACAACTCATGTCCCACAGTGGGCTCCACGGGGGCAGGAACTATGGCTCATTCATCTAGACCTGGATCACAGTGTAGGCACTTAGGGATGGGGCTGTCCCGGGGTGGGCACCTTTGTGCAGTGTACAGCCTGCATCATCATCTAAGGCAACCCAGACCATGGAGGTTTAGGAAATGATTGAATGAATGAATCAGTGGAATGTTACACAACTGGGGAAGGACAGTGCAAGCAAAAGAGATGGAGCAAGCAAAATCAAGGGTGCCTGAAAGTGCAGAGCTTCTTGGTGGAAAGAGCAGAGAGTTTTATGCCACAGGCAGTAAATCTCAGGATTTCCACAGCCCCAGCTGTAGCATCACCTATAGTGTGCTCAACATACCTGCATTCCATCTCAGACCTGCTCATCTAGAATCTCTACAGGCAGGGTGCAAGAATCTGGGCATCCCAAGGGAACCTCAGGAACACAAAATTTGGAGAGATACAGGTCTAGCTACCAAAGTGAGTGGTGGACTGCAAAGGGCTGAGTGAGACTAGCTGGATTCGGTTGAGCCCAGGCCAAAAATTCACGCATGCATGCATTCGATAGGTATATATTGAGCTGGGAAGGTAGTCAGGCATACCCGTACACAAGACAAACATGATCCCTGCTCCCTTTCACAGTCTAGTGAGAAGAGAGCCATTAAATAAATAAGCAAACAAATACCTAATATAGCATCAGGCTATGATTAATGCTTTGCAAGACAGCAAGCAGAGTAAGGAGTTAAAGAGTGGAAGAAGTTGTTTTGGATGGGTGTCAGGGAAACCCTTTGCTGAGGCCAGTATGAGGTGAGGGGAGGAGTCACTTAAGAGGAAGGAATGAAAGACAAATACCATATGATCTCAGCTGTAAGTGGAACCTAATCAACAAAACAAACAAGCAAGCAAAATAGAACCAGAGACTGATGGAGTGTGCCGCGTCCCACGCAGAGTCCCCCGTGGGTCACTGTGGATAGAGGAAAATAAAATAAGTCATTCCAGACACTTCTTGGTCTGTTAGGAAAAGAAGGTGGCAATTCTATCTAGTGAAGAATGCCTCGAGCCCTTCTCTTGAAGTGGCTTTTATTGAGAACGATATACGCAGGGGGTATAGAGCATGCATGCAATGCTCATCGATCAATGTCCAAAGGCTATGATTGAAGGAACACAGAGATTTGCCTCAGGTCAGGGTCTGGTAGACAGGGTGGCACCCATTCAGCCCTGAAACATGGGAAACTGATCACATTCTATGCTTGACCCCAAACATCAGTACTCGTTAACTCGGGGGCATTCTTAGCAAAGTAAGTTTCATAGGATCTAATGCATTCCTTTTCCAGGTCTAATTGTCCCTGGGAACTGCCCAATCCAGTTTAGGGCTATACCTGCCTGTAGAATTGTTTCACTGACCTGGTCAGGCAGCGGGCAGAGCAGCAAAGAGATAAGGAGACTTCTTTCAGATAGAATGAGGACTCCAGCTATGACAAAGCCGAGGGGTAGGGGTCTTTTGCCCCTTCGTTTCGCCAAGTCCTTCCCTGCTGGCCCCCATGTGACTGTGCCTGTCTCAGGTTGCCCCTGCCATCGAGGGGTATCACCCATCACTGATTAACCAGCCATCCTCTGGGGCCAAACAGGGTGATGTGAGGGAGGCAGAGGCTGCTCCCCTGCCAGGTGGACAGGTTTTGTCTCCTCGGTGACCTATTTTCTCAAGGTCTCCTTGCTCAGCTCCAGCCTTGGGGCTTTCTCACCTGTCAGCGAGGCTACAATCCCCGATACCAGGTGGGACAGTTTGCACCAAGAGACATGGAAATAAAGAACAAACTGACAGTGACCAGAGGGGCGGGGGAAGGGGGATAAGAGGAGCAAGAAGGGGAAGGGTCAAGTCAAGGAACATGTATAAAGGACCCATGGACAAAGACAATGGAGAGGGGGAGGACTGAATGTGGGAGGGGGTGCGCATGGCAGGAGAGAGTAATAGGGGAAAAATGGGAACAACTGTAACTGAACAACAATTAAAAATAAATAAATAAAAGGTGGGAATGAACCATGCAGATGTTTGGGGAAAGACTACTCCAGGCAGTAACAGCAGTACATGCAAAATCCAGGAGAACAGAACATGTGAAGGAGAGAGACTGCGTAGGAAGCTGCTGCAGTAGTCCAAGTATGAGATGCTAGATCAGACCAGGGTGGAGGCAGTCAGACTCAGAATATATTTGGAGGGTAAAGGTGCGTAGCTTTGCTGTTGGATCAGATGTGGGTGTGAGAGAAGATGGGAGTCAAGGCTATTGCAGGCAAGAATACAGATGATTAGGAGAGAGTTAGAGATGATGTCAGAGGGAGGTAGGGGTGGGGGCTTGCAGACCACATGCAGGTTCCTTCAGACCGTGGGAAGGACTTTACATTTCCTTCGAGTGTGATGGGAGCATTGGGAGGGTTTGAGCAGAGAATGGATGTGGTCAGGTGTACGTTCTAAAAGAACCTGTAGTTGCAGAATGTAGAACAAACTTTAGGGAAGCAGAGATAGACTAGGGCAGTTCAGAGTTCAGAGGTGCAGGCGTTGAAACGAGAGATGATGACGGATGGCAGCGGAGTGCTGACTGGGATGAGAAACTGATTTCAAGAAATCTGTTGAAGGAATAATAGGTGGTAAAAATCATGACGGAGACAGGCAAGAAAACTATTGAAATGTGGTAGTGGAGCAGGAACTCGAGCTCAGCAGCTCGCAGCTGTGTCTTCTCTGGAGACACGGCCTCAATTTTCTGAGCTGGTTTTGTCATCTGCAAAATGAAATGATAATGAAACGTACCTTATAGAATTGTGGTTAGGGTGATGTCAAAGTTTTTGCACAGGATCTAGCACACAATAAATATTTAATATGCTATCCTAGGAGCCAGATAGCTAAGTTGCCATACCATCTCTGCCATTCACTGTCTGGCTGTGTCATCTTGGTCAAATTGAAATTCTGTGCTTCTGTCTACCCATCTGTAAAATGGGACTATCATTAATACCAACCTTCCAAGCTCGGGTCATGAGGATTAAATAAATGAATACGAGTAGAAAAGCATATCGAATAATGTGGCACGTAGCAGGAACTAAATAATAGCCAATTATTATGAATATATATTTACCATATTTCATTACATCTTCCCCCACTGGCATACACCCACCCCATTCTGGGGATGAGAAGTCTGTGGTTGAAAACAAGGTGGCCTCTTTTCGAGGACACAACACACTCCTTGCCGAGGGTCGTTCTCCGAGCTACCGGAGAAGCTCGGGATTCCAGCTTCGAGCGGCCGCGCCCCCTGGAACCTCTCCCTTCCCCTCCCTGCCCGGCCCGGCCCGGCCCCGGCCCGGCCCCGCCCCGCCCCACTCCGCCCCGCCCGCGAGCTCCCTGCCGGAACCTTGAAGTGCGCGCTCTAGTTTCCAGCCCCGGAGCGTTCGTACAGCTGCACCACCCTTTCTAGCTACTTCCGGTGGCCGCGCCCCCTTACCCCGGGCGTCTCCATTTTGGCCGTAGGTGGAGAGGCGACTAGGACAAGCGGGTTTTCCGTGCGGGGTCATCAGTACTCGGAGGGCCAAGTCGGTTCAACGCACTTTGTCGTTTCCTTCCTCTGCCCCGCAGAAGCCGGGGGCGCCCATGGCGGGCTTGGAGGTACTGTTCGCTTCGGCGGCGCCGGCGATCACCTGTGCGCAGGACGCGCTGGTCTGCTTCCTGCATTGGGAGGTGGTGACGCACGGCTACTACAGCTTGGGTGCCGGCGATCAGGTACGCCACGGAGCCAACTCGGAGCTAGGGTGGAGGGGCTAAGGCGTCTTCTGCCCAAACCCATTGGACCGAAGGCCTGGTCAAGAGTACTTAACCATCGACTCTCCCAACTCTCGGACATGGGGGTTCATGGCACCATTGGTACAGTCTGAGGATTGGGGAGGTGCTTTACTGTCCCAGCTGAGCTCAAAGCCCCTTACGACAACAGAGCTGGCACGTAATTGAAAACCCACGGTCTGAAACTTGCTTTCAGCAGAGCCTGGCAGCCTCCGAGGTCAGGATTGTGTGGACCTGGCACTGAGACGGGCGTAGCTCCCCTCCGCACTCCTCACCCGCCTGAAGTGTCCAGTAAACCCCTTCCCACACAGTACTGCCCGCATACTGTCCTGGAGCCTCCGCCAGATAACTGGATCCAAGCACGGGTGAAGGGGTGAGCCTTGACCAACTCAGCCCCAGTCAAGGGCCCTTTCTTCATTTCCTCAGCATGGCCCAAAAAGCGCAAACGCCCCTCATCCTTTTCAGACCACTCAGGGCTATCATCCCCAACTCAGGCTCTGGAAAGCAAGCACCTCACACACGTACACACATACACCTTTGATGAAAGGGCCAGGTAAGGTTTGCTGGGCACAGCTGTCCCTACAGGACCAGCCCCTCTTGCTCTCCCATCCTCAGGCTCTGCCTCTGGGGCCCTTGTCATCCCCGCAGAGCCCCAGAACTTCCGGACCCAGCCTGCCTCACTAACCCTTGGCTGTAGCCTTCCTTGGTCTTCCCTGCTGCTCGCCTGTGGCTCTCATCCTACACACCAGCTTCCTGTGAGAACTGGGCCTGGCCCCCTTGCTGCCCCTTTATTTGCCTTCTACTCTACCAGAGGAAATACCTGCCCTGCCATGCTCTTCACATACACACACTCAGAGCGGCAAGCCTGCCCCCCACTGTTGCTCTCTTCTCACTCTCAGAACCTAGACCAGCTCAGGGGAACTGGGCGCCTCACCCCTGGCATCTAGTAGTGAAATTTTTAACCTTACTCTCATTTCTAACTGTGTCAGTTCTCAAGCCCGCTAATCCATTTTTAGTTTCTCAGATAAACCTCCAGAGTCTTCAACTTTGCCTCTTCTGCACCAAGCTTAGGGACCCTTCCTTAAAGGTGGTTTGTACATCCGAGCACGTAGATCCAGGCCCTGCCCCACATCCCTGGCTGCCCCATTCCTCTATCTTTCAGAACTAGTGACCAAGACCACCACAGCCCTCTCTCACTTTATTCCCACCAATGGGAATCAGAAGCACAAGAACTGTCATGGGTTTCTGGGTCTTCTCGCCCGCAGACCTCAAGTTTCTCATTGAGACTCCTGATACACACCTAGTATCCTTTGTCCCCACCTCTAGGCTCTCACATACTTCATCCCTCCGGGGGCCTCCAGGACTGGAGATAAGGCTGGAGAAAAGGGGCCAGCCTTTCACACACCCGAAGCAGGAACCATTTCTCCCTCCAAAATGCAACTTTCTGGCCTGCCTGTTCACTCTGCACTTCATTCCACTTACTTTACCTTCATCATTTCAGACCTTGGGACGAGGTACAGACAGGGTCCCCACTCCCAGGTGTCAGGCTTCCCCTTTCAGTGTATAGCCTCCCGCACAGAAACCTTCTGTCCCTCACCGGTCCCACTCCAGCTTTCTGATCTTTAACAGCTCTTTCACTCGCCCCAATCATTTCATTTCTGTCTGTCTGTGGAAGTTCTCTCAGGAAGCTGATGTGTAGGCTGGTGCAGAGGGACAGTAGGATGGGGGAGGGGGCTTAAGACTTGGTCCTGGCCTTAGAGCACCCCCATCGGCCCTCAGCTCCCTGCAGCCCTTGTCTTTTCTTTCAGATCTAACATGTTTGCCCTCTTCTCTCCCGCCCCATGCACCTCGCTCTCCTTATTTACTTCCAGCCAACTAATGCTGCTCCAATACACAGTCAGAACCTCTCTCCCCAGAATGCGTTTTTGTTCTCTCTCCTCCGTCCCAAAAATACGTATCAACACTGCAGATCTGCGTCTGCCACTCATCCTCTCTCACGTCCCATCAGCAACTCTCAGTCACTTTGACGGCTTAGGGACATTAGTTCACATAGGCTACTGCCTCATTCCAGCCAGCATCATCCCCTTGCCATACACTCTGGGCCCCAAAATTTCCAGGTGAAGTGTGCAGAAAGAATGCGATCTCATTTTAATACTGGTTAAAAATAATAATAAAAGATCCTTAACTAATTCCCAAAGGTCCATCTAGTTCCACTCTGTCCATGGTGCCATGTGCTGAGTTCTTGCAGAAAATGGTGCTGTCTCCACACATCATAGGGGAGGCCAGGGAGACTGGGAATGAGGGTTTTGAAAGGTTTTGCCCGCTGCTGGCACGGCCACCCCGTGCTAAATCCTGCATGCCCTCTTCGGGAACGGGTGTTGGCATCGCACACGAGAGTGTATTTTTGTTGCTCTTTGCCCTTTTCTTTTAAGTGCTATTGGAGCTCAGGTTGCACTTGTCCTCCTCTCACTTCTGCTGAGTCTACTTGTATTCAGAGTCCAAGCCCTTTAGAGAAGCATCTTTCCTATTAATTTATTTAAGAGAGGGTTTAATTTTCTGGCCTGGGACCAGAAGACTCTGGAGACCAGTGGTGTCTGCCAAGCTCAGAGGATGTGTATGTTGCCTCTCCAGCCACCTCCTATGCCGCACCCTTCTGGGGTGATAAAAGAGAGAGGAAGGTCCCAAAAGTGTGCATGCACTTGATTACATAATATATTGGCAGTTAAATAAAAAGCTAAATTGTCTCCTTGTTGGTTTTGTCGTCTTTGGTACTGGGGAATTGTGTACGTAAAACTTGATTAGGAAAGAAGTGCATTCATTGGCTTCAATAAAAAGCCAATGTTTGAATTTGGATTTCTTTCTTGAAGTCAGCACCACGCCTCATAAGAGCTTTACAGCTGTGTCAAGTGGTTTAGGTGGCGGGGGGCCAGAGATGGCCATAGACTTAAGTTAGAGAATTTTGTTTTCTTTTGTTGGGAATCTTAGAATTATGATGAAAGAAAATGTCCGGAATGATCTGTTGGAGTTTCTTTGTATGCATTTTAGCCCAGAGGCACTGGGATGTACTCAAGATCACTGAAGAATCCTTCCAGGCCCAGGTGTTTGCCTGACTGGACAACTCTATTTACTTTCTTGGGGCCAGTCTGGTGGACCTGGCTGGGAACAATCTTCTCCAGCCACAGCCCGGGCAGCCAGAAGCTCTGAATGCCAAACCTAGTTCTGTGCCTGACTTCTGGTGACTTTGGGGAGCTCTCAGCCTCCGTCAGCCCCCTTACTTAGATTTTTCATCCGAGGGAGTTAAACTACACTACTGCATTTTGGCTGCTTTCCAGGTGTAGCTTTCTGGAAGGCCTGATATTTGATGTTGAGGCCTAGAGGGCAGTGTGAAGCCATGGCGGACTGCTATCGCCAGGGCCAGTCACTCTGCGCCCCGCCCCCCGCGCCCCCCCACCCCCCGCACCCCCCTACCTCCCGTTTTCCCCATATCAGGGCAGCCCGTGGGCTGGGGAACACTGCAGTGAGAGGCGTCAGCCTCACCCGGCCCCAGGATTCTGCCTTGCTCTGGAAGCCAGAGGTTGTGGGATACTGAGCACACTGAATTATCTGTATTCGAGAAAAAATTCTGATCGGTTGCTGTAGATGGAGGCTTTATATTCAAGCGCCCTTGACAGAACCAAAAAAGGCATATTATCAAATTCTTAGCTTCCAAAGTAAAGCTTAAATCCATAGCACTGAACATGTTACAGGAAGTTTGCCCAGTTGGGATGAAGGAGCTTCTCTTTCTCAGCAGAGTGGTTCAGTTAGTTTCACTTTTGTTTTTTGTCACTCTCGTTTCTCTGCTTCAGGCCTGTGAGCTTCCTTGTCAGGCAGCCAGCTTTCAAACCATGCCAGTTGCAACATCCAGGATTTTATTTAGGTCCTCTTTCCCCACTGGATTCCTGAGTGCCAGGGATGACCGAGGAGGAGAGCCCCCAAATTCTCCGCTCTTGGCATCCGGCTCTCCTTGGGGTGTTTAAGGCCTGCATTGCTGGACCTTTGTCTTTTGTCCTTGTTCTTCATCTTTGGTCCCACCTTCTCCCACTATATTCTCATGAATGCAGAGCTTCCCAGTCCGCTTTGTCCATGTCTAGCGATATAAATACGCATCCATTATAAAAAGATTTTTTGTGCATTTTTAAAATTTTTGCATAAATGTCACCCAGTTATAAATTTCTTTGTTTTCTTGACTTTTCTTTGTCATATGTTTTTTAAACTTTTTAATGCCCCAGTTGCATCTAGTTTGTTCTTTCTCACTGCAGTGTGATTTTCCTCTGTGAGCACACTCTTCATTTCACCTCCACTTAGGTGATGGAGATTCCTAGTCATGTCCCCTGTGCCTCTGTCCACAGGTTTCTTCCAGGAGTGGAGGTTTTGGGTCGAGGCGCATCAGCTCACCTCATGGCATGAAATACTGCCAGGTTGCCCTCCAACAGGGTTGTAAGAGTTTAAGCGGCCCCAGCAAGCAGTGTCTAGAGGTCCTCATTCTTCCCACACCTACACCAATACCTGGCAAAACCCCAGAAATCTGCATAATAACCAGTCATCTGATGGGTATAACCTGGTATCTCATTATTTCAGCCTGTGCTTCTCTGAGTGCTGGTAAAGTTGAACAGCTCTCTGTACTCTGTCAGCTGCTCTTACTTTTGCTTGCTCATATCTTTGGCCAGTTTTCCAAGTGGGTTCACATCTGTTTTCCAAGCATCCCCTTTATGTGCTAAGTATTAATCCTTTTCATTTGTAGCCGTGGCAAATATCTCCTCCTAGTGTTAACTTTGTAGTGTCTGATGTTGAAGAGAAACTTTAAGTCACAAAGAGTCTCAAAGGTAAAACCTTAATTCTTTTGTCAGTCTTGTTTAAGAAATTTCTCCCCACCTGGAAATCACTATGTTAGTTCTTACTATAAAAATAGTTTGAGAACTATTTTTCAAACTTTAGTGTATAAAAAGGAAAGTCATAGCATTACTGAAAAAGAAGAGAAAGGAAGACATCACAACTCAGTGATGCATTTTTATACCCACCAGGTTGGCAAAAATTTTTAAAGTGTACAGTAGCAGCTTTGCCAACTACGTGGAACAACAGGAACTCTTATATATTGCTTACGGGAGTGTAATTCAGTGCCTTTTTGGAAAACAATTTCACTTTATCTTAAAAATTAAAATTTCTTCCCCCAGACATACTGTGTAGAAATTTATCCACGTGTACTAGGAGATATGTACAATAATGTTCATAGTCATCTTTATAATAGCTAAACAGGTAAACTGTACACACTCCAAATACCTACCAACAAGTGAAGGTGTAACTTGCAGCGTCTTCATACAATGGCATCCTATATAGCTCTGAGCTACAGAGCAATGAGAAGCTGTAGAGTGAAGCAGCTCTAGCTCAATGCATTGACATGGATGAATCTCAAAAAACTGCCAGATGAAAAAGGCAAGTGATAAAAGTAATACAACTTATATAAAATTCAAAAACATTTGAAACAATATATTTTTAGGTAAGGAAAAGTAAAGATGTTTAGAAATACAGAGTAGTAACTACCCATCAGGAGGGGGGAGGGAGCTTCTTTGAGGCTCTACTCAAGGAGCCCGCGGTGCTGGCAGTACTCTTATTTCTTTAGCTGGTGGTGGATACGTAGGTGTCCGTTTTATAAATCTTTTTTATCTTGTATGTCTGCTACATTTCATATGTGTGCGAGATTGTTCATAAGTTTTTTAAACCAGTACAATAGCCTGGAGGGGGTGATGCATCAGAATCTGTATTTTTAGTTGGCACTTTAGTGATCCTATTGTAGACGGCCCAAGGTCCAAACTTTAAAAAAACACTACCTTAGAATTTCACAGTATCCCTGGAGATGATTGGCCTTCTTGTGGGTAGGAGGACGGTGAGGAGATGATTATTGCAGCAAGGCTGCCGATTCCTGACAGGTCCCAGGTCTGTGTGACAGAGGCAGTCAGGGATGAGAGAGGAGCAAGAGCGGGAGGCAGGAGACCTGGGTCCCAGACCCCTACCTTTCTGTAGGGCCTTGGACAGTTTATGTCTCCTGACCTCCATGACCTCATCCCTGAAGTGAGGGATGGGATTCGATTGTCTGGAAAGTCCTTTACAGCTCTGTGTTCTTAGGTTGTGACCTTTCAACCCTGGTGTCTTCTCAGCCAGGTCCCAATGACAAGAAATCAGAGCTGCTGCCTGCTGAATGGAACAGCAACAAAGACCTGTACGTTCTCCGGTATGAGTCTAAGGATGGGTCCAGAAAGCTCCTTGTGAAGGCTGTCACTGTGGAGAACAGCATGATCATCAATGTGCTGGTGAGTCTCTGAGACAAGGCGGGGCCTGCTGATGGGAGTGGATGCTGGGATCGTGTTGTTAAACCCATTTAACTGTGTGGATGCAGAGCCCTAAATATTTGTGAGTGAGGCCTTTACCCAATGATCCTACTTCTCGCACTTTCTCTAAACATAGAAAAGCTTGTGCTCAAATATTTTCACCACCTGGTATTGTAAAGGGGGGACTTTGCATCACAGGGGAATCATTAAGTAAATTAAGATAAATCCATTCACTGACAGCTGTGGGAGGCAGAAACTCGCCATAGCTCCAGAGGGCTACTTTTAGTTCTTCTATTTTATTTTATTTTTTTATCCTTACCCAAGGACATGCTGAATGATTTTAGAGAGCAGGAGGGAGGGAGGGAGAAAGGGAGGAAGAGAAACATTGATCCAGTTGCCTCTCATATGCACCCTGACCAGGAACTGAACCTGCATCCTAGGCATATGCCCTGACCAGGAATCGAACCCTCAACCTTTAGGTTTATCAGATGATGCTCCAACCAAGTGAGCCACACCGGCCAGGGCTACTTTTAGTTCTTTAGTTCTTTTGCTATCTGCTGCCTTGGCTTGGAGCAGTCACATTTCTTGTTTCCTGTGCTGGAAAGCTCTTTCCCTCTCTTGTGGGTCACATACACACACACCCCCACACACTACCCTCCCCCGCCCCCTTCATCCTTTCTTTAGCCAGGACTGCTACCTCATTTTTTACTTCCTCAAAAAGCTCAGTCTTGACTACCTACTCTCACCTATCAGAAAAATCTAAATTGTTCCTCTCTCCTTCATCATTTTATTTTCCTGCCTGGTACCACAGTGTATAATTAGGTACTTGTTTATGCTTTGGGTTAGTGTTTGTATTCTGTCACTGGACAATCAGCACCAGGAGGGCAGGGATTTTCTTTTCATTACGTTGTAATCCGCTTGCCTGTGTGTGTTGCTATGAAAGTATCATACAGTCTGTATTGTACTGCTCCTGGCTCTTTTCACTCGGTATGTTTTGGAAGTCTTTCCATGGGAACGCATAAAGATGTACCTTACTAATTTGCTATGCAGTATTCCGTGATACTGTGACTTACTTATCCCTTTCCTCTTTGATGAACACTTAGATCTTGAATCAGACAAGTTCCTTAATTACAAACAACAACATCTCCTCAGGTTAGTTTAAACAGACTGGTTTATTAAAGCATTGGAGTAGCTCATCGAGTTGCTGGAAGGGCTGGAAAACAGGTTCATAGCGGGCCTCCAGCATAATGCCCCAGACCGCGCCATGGAAACCGCTGCTGGCGCCACTGCCCTGGGTGCTGGCCAGCCCCGGGGCTGCTGCTTCTCAGGAGCCACTGATGCTCCGAGCCCTCGTTATCAAGGTGTCTGTCTCCTGCTCAGCCTGCTTCCCCATGTCACCCACCTCTGAGGTGAACTCATGCATCCATTTGGAACCTCAGTTACATACCTGTAACTGGGCCTAGGAAGTAGGTTTTCTGGGCTCTGTCTCAGGAAAACAATATTCCTGAGTCAAAGAAGTCCCCAAGCATTAGCAGGGTATTTCCTACATTGCAGATAGTCCTTGTATTTCTCTCTGTATGCACATATGTATTTCTTTGGCCCAGAAATATTCCCAGTCTCTCAATTTTTATTTTTATTTTTCTAGGAATATGGCTCAGAGCAAGTGTCAGACTTGACCCTCAACTTGGATGATTATATCGATTCAGAACACCTGACTGACTTCCACAGGTACTTCTCTACCTGGTAGTTTTCCCTGGGGAAAAAAGCGAGAACCAGTGGCCAGATATAAGGGACAGAGTAGAGGTAGCTAGGGCATTAAGGAAGGTTAGAAGAGGGATCTTTCACTCCTGGGCACAGTCACTTCTCACTTCTCTTTTCCTATTTTTAATTTACTTGAAGAGAAGACTTGTGTGGGAAATGCCACGTGGAATAAAGCCATGCAGCCAGGAGTCCGCAAGTGCTGTCGTGGTTATGGAGCAGAGATGGGGCTGGGCCGATGGAGTCAGTCAGAGTCGGCTCCTGGGAAAACCGTGTCCCCAGTCAGGTCTCCACTCCACCCCCAGCTTTTTTTTTAATAGACTACTTTTTAGAGCAGTTTTACCTCCACAGAAAAATTGAGCAGAAAGCGCAGAATTCCCACGTAGCTCCTGCCGCCCACCCCCAGCCCAGGACACACACACAGAGCTTTCTTCACTGTCAGCATCCCTGCTAAAATCGTGCACTGGTAAAAATGGAGGAACCTATACTGATGCACATTATCACCCAGGCTCCCTAGTTCACTTTAGGGTTCACTCTTGGTGGTGGTGGCGTATGTTTAGGTTTGTAAGGAGCTGCCAAACTGTCTTCCAAAGTGGCTGTATGATTTAACGTTCCCGTCAGCATTTGTTGGCATTAGCGGTTCAGATTTTGGCCATTTTAATAGGTGTGTATTGATATCTTACTGTTATTTTAATTGCAGTTCCCTAATGACATGTGATGTTGGGCATCTTTTCATATGCTTATTTGCCATCTGTACCTGAGGCGATTGTTCTGGCCTTCGGCCCATTTTTTAATTGTTTTCTTATTGTTGGGTTTTAGGAGTTCTTTGTATATTTTTAGTAAGTCCTTTTTCATGTATGTGTTTTTAAATATATTTTCCTAGTCGTGCTTGTCTTTCCATTCTCTAGACTTTTTATTTTGAACCTTGCAGCCCTACGGAAAAAATGGTTTGCAAAACCATTACAATGAACAGCCCTATACCCATCACCTAGATCGACCAATTTTTTAAACATTTTGCCGTATTTGCTTAATTTTTTTATATGCTCTTTTGTTCTCAAACCGTCTGAGAATTATTTCCAGACCTTACGAACCTTAACCCCTAAATATTTTAGCATTTATCTCTCTACAAGGGCATTCTCCTATATAATCTTAGTACAGTTATCACACTCAGAAATGTACCACTGATACCTTGGTACCACCTAATTCACGGCCCGTGGTCAGATTTCTGCCCTTGTCACAGCGGTGCCCTTTTTAGCCAGCTAGTCTTTGAGTTTTGGTTTGATGTTTTTTCTTATCCAACCAAGACCACACATTGCATTTATTTTCATGTCTCTTTAATTACCTTTAACCTGGAACAGTTTCATAGACTTTTTTTTTTAGTGGCATTGGTGTTTTTGAAGACTTGAGGTCAGTTGTTGTGTAGAATGTTCATATTTTTTTTCCTGTTGGATTTATCATATTGTTTCTTCATATTTGATGTAGGTTGAACACTTCGACAAGAACACTACATAGTTGAGGCCACGTTCTCAGTGTTTCACATCAGGCTTGTGATGTCTCTCACAGTGGATTTTGTTCAGTTTAAGCACTCGGTTATGACAGTTATCTGCCAGCCTTCTCTATAGGGGAAGCGTTTGTTTTCCTTTGTGTTTAGTAAGTGTTGTGTGGGATTATAGACAGACTGAGTAATCTGCTTCCTAATGGTCTTTCAGCCAGTGGTTTTAACAGCTATTGATGCTTCTTGCCTGAATCAATTATTATTGTGATGATTATAAAATAATAATTGGCTATGCTTAGTATTCTTTCTGCTTTTATGAGCATTTTTTAAGAAATATTTCCTTGTCCCCTTTATTTTTAATTTTTAAAATATCAGTATAGACTCATGGATTCCTCTTTTGTTCAGCAGGATAGTCCGTTTCTGTCATTCTTTGAATGGTGAGGTTGTTCCAGAGTCGGCCCGTAGGAGCCCCTTCAGGCTGCCCACTTTGTCCTTTCAGTATGTCCTCATCCTCTGGGTGTTTTCATACTTTCTGGCACAAAAAGATACTCTAGCCTCACCTTGCCCTTTCCTAGCCCCTGCTTTGAAATTAGCCATTTTTGTAAGGCACCTCATGGTTCTTAGGGGATATTATTTCAAAACTAAAACCTGCCCCCTGAATGTGTTCATTAAGACTAAGGATGTCCCTGGTTCCAGGCCTTGTCAGGGAATAGAGCTAGGAAGGTTGTTAAGAAAATCAAACTTTAAGGAAAGTTTCAGATTTCAAACTGATACTTTTTTTTTTTTTTTAAATCTAACCCCACGGGATTCTTAATCTCTTACTCCATCCTTGTACCTCCCTTCTGCGGTGAGAACTCTGATGTCCAGTGGCATCAATATATTTACTTATTTGTTTGATTCTAAAATACACATAAGTAGTTTCTGAACTGCTGCTTCTTGCTCCCAAGAACAAATCTAAGTAAAGTTTCAAGTACTATTTCTTCCCAGGTCTTTTTGTCCTTTGTGTCCCACTGAGGATATATACAGTCAAGAGTATTATGTTCAAAAGGTACTTAGATTAATGCTTGTTTTTCCAGTGTAATAAAATTCTCTGTTTGATACATAGTTTGTCCCATTTATTTCCACTTCACTCCCTTCTAGGGACTTTTTCCCCATCCTTTTTGACCTCCTCAGAGTTTGGAGGAAGCCTGGCCTCACTATAAATTCACAGGCATCAGAAGTGCCTAGAAACCCTGATACGTTTAGTTGTACAGAATCAAGCAATAACCATTTTGAACCTTCTCCCCTGTTCTCAGACTTCCAAAGCCCCTACCTCCCTACAGCCTGGCTACCCCTCTTTGCCTCCTCCCCTCTTCTGTGCAACCTCTGTGGGAGGAGATCCCAGCTTCCACTCCTGCTTACCACCCTCCTGTCGATTTCCCACACAGCAATAGACCAACTTGTTTGAAACATAGATCAGATCATGGTTAAAAACCCCTGCTTGAAAATCTTTTGGTGAAAACCTCCACATGTTAGGATGGCTACTATCAGAAAAAGTTTCTTTTTTTAGAGAATGAGTATTAGTGAAACTTTGGAGAATTTGGAACCCTTGTACACTGTTGGTGGAAATGTAAAATGATGCAGCCACTATAGAAAGTGGTTCCTCAAAAAAATTACCATATGATCCAGCAATTGAACTTCTGAGCATATACCCGGACTTGAAAGCAGGATGTTGAAGAGATATTTGTACATCCACATTCATAGAAGCATTATTCACAATAGCCAAGAGGCGGAAGCCACACAGGTATCCATGAATAGCCAGGACAGATGAATGGATAAACAAGATGTGGTACATACATACCGTGGGATATTATTCAGCTTAGAAAGGAAGGAAAGTTTAAGCATGAATCTTGAGGACATTATGCTAAGTAAGCCAGTCACACGCAAACAAATATTGTGTGATTCCACTCCCACGAGGTACCTAGACTAGTCAGAGTCATAGAGACAGAGAGTGAAATAATCATTTCCAGGGGCCTGGGAGAGGGGAGAATGGGTCGGTGCTCGGTGGGCACAGAGTTCTGAAGATGCGTGGCAGCGGTGACTGCACAGTCATGTGGGTGTGCACTTAAAATCTTACATTGATACAGTTTGAAACATCTTTTTAATTACAAACAAGCAAAAAAACCCCTTCAGTGAATTTTCATTTCTCTGAAGATAAAGAACAGAAACCCTGATGAGGCCTAAAGCCTGGTGCCCCAGCCCTCGCACCTCCTCTGGGCCACTTCCCTGTGTCCCGGCCACTTCCCTGTGTCGCAGCCGCGGCGCACTCCCCTCTTCAGGGTTCTTCCCTCTGCCAGGCACGGCCCTCCCAGCTGCCTCACAGCCAGCTCCTGTGCCTCCTTCAGTTTCCATTTAAATGGCAGCTCCACAGAGAAGCCTTCCTGGCCTGCCCTCCATGTATGGTGTTTTGAAACAACCTTTCAAGAGTTTAGTAAATGGATATTTTATGATTAACTTCTCAGAGCTGATCTCCCCTAGTAGCCTGTGATCTTCTGGAAGGCAGGCCCTGGGGCTGTTTTGCATGCAGTAGACAAAGGAATCAAGGCAGAGCTGCTCTTGTGGGTGCTCCCCATACCAGGAGCCCACCATACCCTTTAAGAAGATAAGGGAAGGGCATTTGGAGTGTGGTCTCTCTCTTGACTTCTTCATTCTGAAACCCCACTGGGAAAGAAATTGACAAAACTCATGGAAGAACGCAGGCCTCTATTATGCTGTTCATGCACATTAAAGCATTTAGTTGCCTCAGCAATACTGAGAAAGATTATAATGTTTCCATCTATTTATTTTTTAAATATATTTGTTGCTGGGGTTTTGTATGTAGGTGTTTTGTTGATTACTGTGAAATGAGGGACAGGATAGTACTATTTCAGAGTGTTGTTCTGAGAATGAAATGAGATGTCAGCACAGAGTGCTCAGTGCTGGGCCCAAGCTCTTCTTAGTAAATACGCAAAGGGAGAAAAATCTGATCACTAGGAACCATCTCCATGGCAACTGAGGCTTTGAAAGCCAGGGTACAGATCACACCTCGCTCTTCTGCCTTAGGAGCACTGAGCTGCCAGCTTCTAGTCCCCTTCCCTCATGTGGCCCTCCCCGTTACAATGTCATGGCATGTCTTGTCTGTTTTAGGTAGTTATTTGTGACCCTTGGTGAGCAAACTGCAGTTTGCCAAGGAGTGCAAACCTGTTTCTTTCTGCCATGCCCTTTCTGTGTTAGACAAGATGACAAGCTGTCTTTTGCTACTATCAAAATTGCAGTTCTGCTGAGATTTAGAAATTGGGTGAGAACTTCTCTTGGTAGTTTTTGAATCAGGCCCGAGTTGTACAGGTAAACATCTTCCATAGGGAGATCAGAGGTCTTCCTAGTGCATCACACAGCAGTTTATCTGATTGGAAAGGAAAGAGGAGTTGGATTTATTTATCCCCTCCAACAAACTTGGTCAGGAAAGCAGCAGAGTCCCCATAGCTCTGTGTTCTAAGTAGAAAGCTTTTCTTTGTAAGAATGAATGGACCACAAGCCCTTAGCACCTTCAAGCCATTGCAGGTATTATCACTTTCTAACCATGGTACTCTTTCTTCAAGCACAGTATGCTCAGGATTGTTGCTAAACTAGTTAAAGTCGAGGTGCTCTGGTGGACAAGCCGGGACCAGGAAATGGAGGTCCCTGAGCTCCATCCACTTGGCCTTCTCTTTTGCCTTCCTGGTCCTCCTTCTAGGCTAGAGAATATCTGAAACCACTGATCCCTTCTCACCTCACTTTATTTTATGGTTATATAATACATGTGTTTTTAATTAAACTTTTAATTGTACACTTACATGCAGTTGTAAGAAATAACACAGGGAGACTCTACATTCTACAAACTATACTGCATTCTACACACTGTACTAGCTCTTGCAAACAGGATTTGACATTGATATAATGATACAATGATACTAAGCATTTCTATCACCAGGGTCCCTCTGATGCCTTTTTATAGCCACACTTACTCTCCCTCCCATCCCTAACCTGGCGACCATTATTCATTCTTCATTTCTAAAATTCTGTCATTTCAAAAATGTATACGTGGGATTATACGGTCTGTAAGCTTTTGGGATTGGTTTTTCTCACTCAGCATAATACCCTTATGATCCATCTGAGTTGTCGCATGCATCTTGTTCCTTTGTTTTGTTCAGTAGTATTTAATGGTATTGATTTGTTTAATCATTCATTACTTAGAGGATATCTGGGTTATTTCCAATTTTTTGCTGTTAACATTCACGTACAGGCTTTTGTGTGGACACAATTTTCACTTCTCTGCAATAAATACCCAGAGTACAATGGTAATTGCACATTTAGGTTAAGAAATTGCTAAATGCTTTTCCAGAGTGCCCATACCATTTTACACATCCACCACCAGTACGTGAGTGATGCGGTATCTCTGTATCTTCACCAGCACTTGGCGTTTTCGCTATTTTTCATTTAGTTATTCTGATAGTTGTATAGTGATAATTCATTGTGGTTTTAATTTGCATATCCCTGATGGTTAATGATGTTGAGCGTCTTATCATGTGTATATTTACCATCTGTATATCTTTTTTGGCAAAATATCTTTTCATGTCTTTGCCCATTTTCTAATTGGAATTTTTTTTTTTTTTTTTTTTTTTTACTGTTGTAATTTTGAGCCTTCCTTAGATATATTTCAGTTGCAAGGCCTTTAATAGATGGTGGTTTAGAAGTACTTTCTTTTGGACTGTCGTTTTTTCTTTCTCTTTACATGGTCTTTTGCAAAGCAAAAGTTTTGAATTTAGATATTTAATCAATTTTTGCTTTTAGTCTCAATTGTCAGAACTCTGCTTAGCCCTAAATTCCCAAATATCTCCCATGTTTTTTCTAAACATTTTGTAGTTTTGTTGTACATTAAAATCTGTGATTTGCCCTGGCTAGTGTGGCTCAGTTAGTTGGAACATTGTCTCATGAACCAAAAGGTCTCGAGTTCGATTCCTGGCCTGGGCAGGTCTAGTTCCCCTGGTGGGGCGTGTACGGGAAGTAGGCAGCCGATCAATGTTTCTCTCCTTCTCTCTCTTCCTCTCACCCCCTCTCTGTAAAAGCAATGGAAGAGTGTCCTTGGGTAAGGATAAAAAAATAAAAATAAAAATAAAAAGATATATTTTAAGTTAATTTTTATATAACATGTGAGGTTTAGGTGTAGAGGTTCATTTTATTGCCTGTGGATATCTAATTGCTTCACCGCCTTTTGTTCTTTTATTGAACTACTTTTGCAGCTTTGTCAAAAATCAGTTATTTGTACTTGTGTGGGTCTATTTTTGGGTTCTCTAATCATTTTGTAATTTTAGACATAGAATCTGAACATGTTTTCGTTATTTCTTTCAGAGGTGATTATAAATGGTGTTCTTAGCCTTGATTTTCAAATGTTCATTGTTAGTACATAGAAGTGCTGTTTATTTTTATGTGTTGATCTCGCATCTTGTCTTGTATATTGAACACTTAGTGAACTCAGTGTTGGAGTTTTTTGTAGATTCCTTGAGAATTTCAAGGTAGACTATCATGTCATCTGCAAATGGGGCAGTTTTATTCCTTGTTTTCTAATCTATATGCTCTTTCTTTTTTAAAGATTTTATTTATTTATTTTTAGAGAGGTGGGAGGGAGGAAGAAAGAGAGGAAGAGAAACATCAATGTGTGTTTGCCTCTCGGGTTCCCCACATTTGGGACCTGGCCTACAACCCAGGCCTATGTGCTGACTGGGAATCGAACTGACAACCCTTTGCTTTGCAGTCTGGTGCTCAATATCCACTGAGCCTCACCAGCCAGGGCTGCTCTTTCTTTCTTAATTGAAGTGGCTTGAACTTTCAGTATTATGCTAAATAAGAGAAGTGAGAGAGCATATTCTTGCTTTGTTCCCAGTCATCGTATTCCATCTTTCATTACTAAATGTGTTGTTTGCTATAGGTGTTTTGTAGATGTTCTTTATCAAATTGAGGAAGTTCCCCTCTATTCCTAGTTTATTGAGACTTTTTTTAAAAATCATGAATGGACTTATTATGGAGGATTTTATCAAATTCTATTTTTACATCATTTGGTATAATTGTTTGAGTTTTCTTTGCTTATTGATATGGTAAGCATTTGTGAATATTGAACCAGCCTTGCATACTCACAATACATCCTGTGGTGTATAATTCGTTTTATGTATTTTTAATTCAATTTGTTAGATTTTGTTGAGCATTTTTGCACCCAAGTGCATAGGAAACACTGTAGTTTTCTTTCCTTTGTACTCATTATCCAGTTCTGATACCAGGGTAATACTATTCTCATAAGATTAGTTGGAAAATGTTTCCTCCTCTAGTATTTTCTCGAAGTGACTATAAATTGATGTTATTTTTTATGTTAATTTTTTAAAAATGTTTGGTAAAATTCCCCATGGAAATAATCCGGACCTGGAGATTTCTTTTTTGGAGTGCTTAAGTATGAGTTTAATTACTATAGTAGAACTATGCAGATTATCTATTTCATTTTGGCTGAACTGTCACAGTTTGTGGTTATTGACGAATCGGTATAAGTTGCTGAATCAAGTCGTGCTTAGTAGCCTGTTAGTGCCCTTTCATTGGCAGCAGCGCTGCTGTGGTAGCACCCTGTTTCATTCTCCACATGTGTATCCTCGCTCTCTTTATGTTTGCTGATCCTCCCATAAGTTTATCAATTTTATCCCTTTTTTGGAAGAACCAGCTTTTTAATTATTTTTCTATTTTTCTGTTTTATTTCTATTCTCTATAATCTCTTCTGCCTGTTTGGGGTTTAATTTGTTCTTATTCTAGGCTCTTCAGTCAGAAATTTGATTATTATTTTTCCCTCTTTCCCAGTGTAAACATTTAATGCTATGAAGTTTCCTCTCAACACTGCTTTAGCTATATTCCATATATTTTAATTTGTTATATTTTTATTTTTATTCAATGTTTTATATTTTTCCCAAGATTTCTCTTTGATTCATGTATTATCTAGACTTACGTTGCTTAATTTCCACACATTTAGAGACTTCCTTTCTGTATTCATGTTTAGTATGATTCCATGTGGTCAGAGGACATAATGATTTCAGTTTTTACGTCTATGAGGTTTGCTTTTTGACCCAGGATGTGGCGCATGTTAAAACACCTGACTTTTCGAACTCTAGAGTGCTGCTGCCCATTTTCTGTTTCCTCAGGCTGCCTCCGTACCTCACCTAAAGCTCACATCGCTTGTCTTTCGCCGGCAGAGAACAGAGACCCCTAGCAGCCTTCCAAGGGCCCCCGACTTAGTGACAGAACTACTCCTGGCGCCCCCAGAGCTCTGCCTACCTGGGCCAGGGACCTAGTTCATTCTTCCTGCAGAGGCTTTGCCTTCCCATGACCCTTCCCATGACGCATGATGAACACACAATCAGGGGTGGGGTGGGATAGGGTGGGTACAGAGGAGTAGCCAGTCCAGGCCCTGTGTCCCTACACTCTCACCTCCTTCTAATGGGGTGGTAAATGAGGAGGGGCAACTCAGATGCCTAGGAAGCTCAGGCCCAAATCTCGGAGACAACACCGGGCTGTTGCCCCCCTCACGCAGGCCCGCTGGACGGCCCGTTCCCACCCTTCCAGACGGTCTAAGCGTAATGCCAAGAACTGCCAAGGCCGCCGCAGCCACGGGAATACTGTATGCAGGGTTGCCAGCCAGCGGCAAGCAGTTGACACCTCATCTACTTCCTGCAGGGCCTACAAGAACAGTGAGGAGCTTCGGTCTCGTATTGTGTCTGGAATCATCACACCTATCCATGAGCGCTGGGACAAGGCTAATGTAAGCAGTCCCCATCGAGAGCTTCCCCCTGCCACTGCTGAAGAGGTGGACCCACTCCGCATTTACCCACAGCGCCCACAGTACCCACAAACTAGCCGGCAGCCTTCCTGGTGAGTACAGAGCCCCTGGCGGGCAGCCCACGCTTCTGCCGAAGGATTCCAGCCATGTCCATCCTGCCGCTTGGCCCCCTCGCTGGCCCCTATGTGTCTTCAGCAGAATTGTCAGTCTTAGTGTATGGAGATAGAAAGTGGAGACACAAGTAGAGCAGTGAGTTCTTCCACTGCTACTAGTCACCCTCACTGCCCAGCATCTGAGGGCTGCTGGTCCCCTTCCTAGAGTTCACAAGGAGCCTCTGAGTCAGTCCAAGGGTCAGTGCCCACGGGGACTGTGCACTACGCCTAGGTGGCCGCCCAGGTGATTCAATTATTTATTCCAGAGCTCTGTGTGTGCAGGGCCCTGGACAGGCTTTTTGGGAAAATGCAAAGATGCCGAAGTCCTTTCGCAGAGAGGATGTAGTAGTCCCAGGGTCTTGCCCGTTTCATTTTATTGTAGTCCCCTGACCTCTTGACAACTTAAGAACTTTTCCAAAACAGCACTGGAGATGAACAAAACATGCCCAAGATCTTTGCAGATGAGGATAGTAGCATTTAGGGCTGGAGAGTAATGCTCCAAGGGAGGAGAGGAGGACGGGGGAGACTTCAGCCTCTGCTGAGACGGCGCTCCCCAGTCTGGGCTCCAGTGTGGTCCTGATGGTGGGACTGGCCGGGTGGAGGGGCCGGTTCACTTTGCGGCCGTAATGCGCACTCAGTAAGTGTCAACTGCCATTGTTATTGTATTCTACTTGGCAATGATATACCTTTGGTTAGTTTGTAAAAGGGAAATTGATTGAATTATTACAGTAAATAATAATTGGCGATCTCTTTGGTAGTCTTTAGAAATACGGGTCCTATGAGTAGAGAATAATAAAAAGTGGTTGAAAGGCTGGAACACCTTGTCTGGTCTGACATTCTTATTTTGCAGACAGCAACAAAGGTAAAATGACCTTCCTAAAGTCAGGAGCCGCCAACAAAGAGACAGAGCCAGGGCTGGGGTCCAGGTGTTCTCTCACCCGGCACAGTGCTCTTTCTGTGATGTAATCAGAATACGAGTGGCAGGATTGAAGAATAAGGTCTGGACAGCAGTCCAATCGGAGGAGATTTTTAGACCTTAAGTAGATAATAGTTCTCAGCTTTCTCAGACTCACTGCCCAGTTCAAAATAAGTATTCTGTGAAATCTCCCTTACTTTCCCAAAATGGAATTTATAGATACTTTCACTTACTGAATATACAGTTTCAGAAGGAATTGGTATAATGTCCTAACTGTAATATAAATGAGAAATAAAAACAGTAATTAATAATAAGATAATGTGTATTTCGTTGTGTAGATACCTGACCAAGATTTCAATGGAAAACATAGTCGTCGTCAGATATTTCAGTTGTATGGGGAATTGTCTTGAATTTGACAGCAACAAAAGCTGGCCACGTGCAGATGTTGTTGTATTGGCAACTCAAGTATACATTCCATGTTGGTGTTACTAGCATGACTTTTCTGAAATAGTGAACAGCGCTTAGAATGGCAAACAAAAGAGTGGATGGACAGTGTTTCTTAATTACATCAGTTATATTCCTGGATAAATTTATATTAGAACCATATAGAAATACTGTGTTCATATATAAAACAGGTTTGGACTCAGATAATTTATGTAGGCTTGCATTTCCATTAATGTCTAACAAGACTTCTGAAAGCCGTGTGGGGTTCAGGGCATTCTTCATTACGTCGGATTCCGCTCTGAGTTGTAGAGTAGGCAGCTTCTGCTTATTAATGCCAAGAGGACTCTCCAGACTCCGTGACAAGCAGATACACCACCAGAGCTGCCGCAGGGGCACCTGGAAGCTGTGCCATCCTAATTTTGGAATTATAGACCTAGAGTTTAGAATTGTGAAGGAAAAAACCCCAAAAAAGCCTGGCCTTAGGGGAAGTGACAGAATTAGAAAAGCACCACATTGCAAACTTGTACTGAAATCACATACCTGGGCACAAATTGTCAGTGGCTGCTGCACTCTTGGGTGAAAGGTCAGTGGGGAACTTTGTAACAGGTAGGTCAGACTGATAGCGCCGGAAACCATAGGTCAGTCTTTACACCGAAATGAGGACAGCCAGGCATTGAGTCCTGAATCCAGATCAAACTCCCAGTTTAAAAGAAGTATGAGGGCTGGAAGAACAAGTTAATCAGACACACGAGGATACATGTGTTCCAGTCAAAAATAGAACATGAAAATTTTTTACACAATAAATTGATCTTGTTTTTTCCAATCAAATAAATGAATGGCATGGGGAGAAAAGGGAGAGAGGGGACTGTTAATAAAAGTTATATCATCTAGATACAGTGTTGGACTTTGTTTGGATCTTGATTCATACTGATTCTAAAAATCATTTTTGAAACGTTTGGAGAAACTTGCATGTGGACCAGGTATTAGATAACGTTAGGAATTACTGCTAATTTTAAGTAAAGCAAATTAATTTTTGATTATGTTGGAAAAAACAAAAGAAGCCTTTATCTGTTAGAGATACGTATTTACATATATATAACAAAGTCTTTAAGGGTAAAATGGTATGTCTGGGATGTACTTTAAAGTAACTTAACCCAAAAGAATCACATTTGGACGCAAGTATAGGTGAAATAAGAATGGTGGAATATTGATAATTATTGAAACTGAGTTGAAAAAGGCAAGGGTTTCATAAATTACACTATTTGTACTATTTTGGTCCATTTGAAAATTTCCTTAATAATGATTTTTTTTTTATTAATACCAGTCCCTCACAAACTCCTTCAAAAAAAATAGAAGAAGAAGGGGTACTTCCCAACTCATTCTATGAGGCCCGTAATGCCCTGATACAAAACCAAAGATATCACAAGAAGACTATAAACCAGTATCTTTTATGAATATAGATGCAAAAATTGTCAACGAAATACTGGGAAACAAATCCAGCTACATATAAAATATACACACCATGACCAAATAAAATTCCAGGATTGGTTAACTTAACATCTAAAAATAAATGAGTGTAATACACCATGTTAATAGAACAAAGGACAAAAACCACTTTTCCACCTCAATTAGAGAAAAAGCATTTGCAAAATTCAACACCCATTCATGGTAAAAAGCATTCAGCAATAGAAGGAAACTTTCTCAGTCCAACAAAGAGAATCTGCAGAAAGGCCACAGCTAACACCCAACCTAATGGAGAAGGACGGAATGCTTTCGCCCTAAGATCAGTAACAAGCAAGGGTATCTGCTCTTGCTACTTTCCTAGAACATGGTACTTACTGTATAACGAGTACTGGGCAATCACTCAAGAAATAAAAGGTATTCCGATTAGAAAGTAAGAATTAAAACAATCTGTTTGTCAATGATATGGGATCTTATACGGAGAATATCCTAAGGAAAATATTTTTTTAACTTTGTAAAACTAATATACAAATTCAGCAATGTGACGGGCTACAAGATCAATAAAAATCACTTGTAATTCTGTATATTAGCAGTGATCAATCTGGAAATGAAATAAATGACCACATTTACAGTAACCTCAAAGAATAAAATATTTAAAAATAAATTTAACAAAGGAAGTGTAGGATTTGTATACTGAGAACCACAAAAGATTATTGAAAGAAATTAAGGAGGATCTAAACCACTGAAAGACATACTGTGTTCACAGGTCATGGTCAGGACTTGAGATTGTCAGTACGCCCCTAAGTGATCTGCGTAGTCAGTGTCATACCAGTCAAAATCCGAGAGCCTTTTTTGTTGGTAGGGTTTTGATTTGTTTCAGAAATCGGCAAGCTGATTCTAAAATTCCTATGGAAATGCGAAGGAACCAGAATAGCTAAAACAGTTTTAAAAAAGAAAAAAATTGGAGAACTCATACTTCTCAATTTCAAAACTTACTACAAAGCTGCAGGAATGAAGACTGTGTGGAATTGGCATTGGGATAGACATATGAAGCAAAGGAATACACTTGAGAATCCAGAAATAATTCATATATTCATGGGTAATTATTTTAAAATAAAAAGTACTTAAAAATTCAGATGCTGAGTTGCCGCTTAGGTTCTTAAGTCTATGGTATTTCTTGAGCTCAGTATGTGTGGGACACTAGCTCTACCCCTGGGTGCGTCACCAAGGCCAGTGGCAGCATCTGGGCTTCTGCTCTCATTTCCCTCCTAAGGGATGAACAGCAGGGTACTTGGCACACACTTGGTGTCCAGGGAAGGCTTCCCCAAGACGGAACTGGTATCTAAACAGGAGACATTAGCCAGGCAAAGAGAGGGATAGAAAGCGTGCTCCAACCTGAAGACCTGTTCTCTGCAGAGCCCTGGAAGGGCAGGCCACGTGGTTAGAGCCTAGTAGGTAGAGTCAGGTGGTGGTGGTGGTGAGTGGGTTGCAAAGCCCGGGGCAGGCTTCCCCGCTCAGGGAGGGGGCAGGATACAATCCTCCCTGTCAAGATGGAGAATTACCAAGTGAGTGGTGTGGGCCTCCGTTTAGGAAGCTTTACTAAGTGAAGTCTCCAGGTCTTGGGCTAAGAAAGGCTGTAGAGGAAATGTGGGTATTGTTCTAGGCCCAGAAGATGGGGGAGAGGCTGGAATGGTGCCCGCCCGTCGCAGGCCTGCTGCAGGCACAGCCAGCTCTGCGCCCTTCTGCCCATTGTGTGTGTTTCCTTCGCCAAAACCCCTGGCCTCCTAGCCCTGGGGTTCACTCTTTCCATGACAACACTTATCATTTTTGTCTAATCCCAAGATTATTGGCTTTTTTCAAGTGCCTACTTCCTTTGTTCCACTTCTTCACCTCTTTGTATCGCCATCACCTGGACCTATGCCTTGCACATTTTGATGAGTTTTCTCTTTCACAAATGTTTTCCTGTGGATTAGGGGTCCCCAGGGCTGGATCCCTGCTCTTGAGGCACACGCTCTCCTTCTGGCTTGGGAAACAGCTGAGTAAATTAAAGTGATCGCTGCCATTAACAGACATTAGCGCAGAGATCCTTCACGGGTACGCTGGGAAAGGCTTCTTGGAG